ACTTTTTTTTTTTTTTTATTGAGGTAACATTGGTTTACATCATTGTATATTATTTAAAGTATAAGATCACACCTTTCGGGTTTATGTTACCCCATCACACTCACTGCCAAAGTCCTGAAAGTCCATTACTGTCGGCCGCTGTTCTCCCTTCCCACTCTCTCCTCACTTCAGCTCCCCCTGTGGTAGCCTCAAGTCTGTAGTCAGAGTTCCAGGGCTTGTTGTTTTATCTTTATCTGTATTCTACATATAAGTGACACCATCTAGTATTTGTATTTCTCCTGGGTATTTCGACTCGGGTAATCCCCTCCAGTTGTTGCAAAAGGCAAGGGTTTATCTTCTTGTTTTTTTTTTTTTTTTTTCTTAATAGCTGAGTAGTACTTCATGGTGTATATGTACCACATCTTCCTAATCCACTCGTCTGTCTTTAGGTGGTTTGTATACTTTGTATACTTTGGCTATTGTAAATAGTTTGGCAATGAACATAGGAATGCATATGTTTTTTTCAGAATAGTGGTTTTGTTTGTTTGTTTGTTTGTTTTGCATTCTTCAGGTAGGTACCTAGGGATGGACTTGCTGGATCAGATGGTAGATTTATTTTTAAAATTTTGAGAAATCTCCATATTGTTTTTCATAGGGGTTGGGCCAGTCGACATTCCCAACAGCAGTGTATATGGACAGAAACTACTACTTTCAACGAGAAATTAAGAAATGTTGTGGAAAGGACATAATAATAAACTATCATTCATTCATTCATTCAACAAATATTTGTTTAACCTTTCCACTCAAGCACTTCAGTAGGCATTAGGGAAATAGCACTGAGCAAAATAGATGGATATTCCTACCTTCGTGGAACTTACATTGAAGTGGGGAGGCAGAAAATAAAGATTTAAGTACCTCAAATAGTGTGCTTCACAGTGAGAAGTTTAAGTACAAAGAAGAAAATGTAACAGGAAAGAGGAGTAAAGAAGTACTTGTGAGTAGAAAGAGGTTCATGCGATAACAATTGCCACCAGGGAGACTCACTAATGAGAATGTGACTTTTAAATGAAGATCCAAAGGCTGGAGGGAGGGCCATGCAGAAATTCTATTCAGAAGCTACAGCAGGTGTAAGCACTTGGAGGTAAGAGTGTGCCTGGCGTGTCGCCGGAGGACACAGGGGCTGGAATGGAGGGCATGGGAGAAAATTGGGAAAGAGCAGTAGAAAAATTTGTATACACTTGTTTGAATTCACTTTTGGAGAAATGATGAATGATGGCCAATAGAAAGTTTTGAGCAGAGAGGTGACTTGATCTGACTCTGATTTGACTGCTTTGCTGAAAAGAAGTGGTTGGTGGCAATGGCAGAAAAAGATAATCCAGCCAGGAGGCCAATGTCATAGCCCAGAAAAGAGATGACTGTAACACGGACCAGGGGTGTGGCCGTGAGAGTGGTGAGAAGTGGTTGTGCTCGAGGTATACTTTGAATGTAGATGAAACAGAATTTTCTGATAGAATTGACATGGGGTGTGAGAAGAAGAGAAATGTTGATGATGACAGCAAGGCTGGGCCTCATCGATGGGGGCGTGTGGCTGCTGTGAGCCAGGAGAAGAATGTGTAGCAGATCATGGCCTCAGCACTGCAGCCAGAGTCTACGGTTTGTTTTGGTTTTGCTTTGTCTTCTTGTTTGCTTTGCTTCTTTATATTGCACATATGAGTGAAATCATCTGGTATTTGTCTTTATCCTCCTGACTTATTTCACTTAGCATAATTTATTCAGGTTCCATCCACATTGTTGCAAATGCTAAGATTTCATCTTTTTTGTTTGTTAAACTATGACTATTCTGTTGTGTATTTATACCACATATTCTTTATTCAACCATTGATGATTTGGGGTCTTTTTTTAGTGATACAGAGTTCATCCCTTCCACTCAAAATGTTTACTGTAGTTAAATTCTGTGCAAAGTAGGTGTTCAGTGCAAAGTGGGAATAAGCTTTTTTACCTCTTAAGAAAGTAGGGGAAAAGAATTCCACCTTGAAGAAAGCGTGATCCAGAAATGAGTTCTCAAGGAAGTGGTCTTCGATGGTGCTGAGCTCTGAAGGCTGAGCTCTGAAGGGTGTTTAGAAAAGACAGAAATGAGGGAAGGACATTTTTGATAACGGGTGTGGGAGTCTAACTACATAAAACAGGGTGGGGGTTATGGTCATATCACCTGCTGAACTAGCGCAAAGAGTCAGTGGGAGAAAATGGGAAATATAGGTAGATTATTATAGAACCATGTGTTCAGTGCTTAGTAATACTGACTCTCTCTGAAAAGTTTGAGGATTATTCCAACAGTGATGTTTTGTTATGCATTTCGGTCACTTGGTCATATTGCACTTTTCACTCTACTCTGAGTCACAAAGCACAGTTTCATTACTGCAACTTCCTTAGGCCAGAACAACAGTTTTGGCAATTTGATGTTTTAAGATACTTCCCATGACTTCTCTTTTCATATCCTGTATAATGTAAACAATTTTTTTTTAATACTAGCATTTCTTAGAGGATTAATCGTATAAACTTTGGAAAATTCTGTTACTGCTTAGAAGTAGTCATGTGCCTAACTTCTAAAAATATATATCTTGCCTTTGATTTTTTTAAAGATTTATTTATTTATGCATACAAGAACTGGGGTACAGGCCAGAGATGCAGGGGGATGAGAGGATTCACCAGACACAGAGTGGAGAACAGAACAGGCAGATTGACTGAAATACACTGCTAAGGGGAGTAGTGGGCGAGACAGGAGAGGTCTCCCGCACCATCTGGGTAGTTCCCTGGCCTGCCGGGGATTCAACTCATGCTGCAGAGGCTGTGGACAGCTTCCTAGTGTGCTCAACCCCTTGCACCACCAAGGAGGCCATGGATTTTTTTTTTTTTAATTTTGGATTTCACTGAATTATAAGCCCTAATATCCTTTTTTCCCTCACAACTTTTTAAGAAATACCAAATTAAAGAAAAAATACTATATAAAAATGCTACTGTGAGTGGTGGAGCTTTAGGGATCAGCTCTCATTTTCCCTATTTTAGAATTCTTTAAATTGAAATTGAAAATAACCTGTTATTATAACATTTTTAGTAATGAGGGACCATGCCTGCCTCTTCCCATATCAGCAGTTCTCCATGGGAAAAAGACTATACTCACTCTTAATTCTTGACAGAGAGATTGATAGTGGATGATAAGAATATATCAGATGCCTGTGCCTTTCCTATAGTCCTGCAAAATTCTTATCTCCGATCCTTCTGTGACTGTTGAAATGTTTTTCTAGAACTGTTGGAGGTATTTCCCATTTTTTCCAAAAATGCTTGGACCATCCAATTCTAGGTGGGAGTTGAGAGGACGAGAAGAGGAAGAATAACACCTATGAAATAAGCTTTCAAAGAGACTGTGTTAAGAAAGTTGCACTTTCCAAGAAAACCACTTTACACCTTTACCTCTCTCCTCAGGCTCCCTCATGCCGCCTCCTTCCTCCTCCTGACCATCAATTCACTTGAATTTCACTACAGAAATACAAGTCCTTAGAAGCCCTCATCTTCACCCACCAAATCTCTCATCACCTCCATTTATATCCATATAGTCTGCCTTCCCTAGTTGGGGCTAATAAGCTTTCTGTGTTTCCACCTGAGAGCAATGCCTCTACAATGAGTGGACATTTCCTCTTAGTAGTTCATGAGCTGCTTTGTGGTTAGCCACGATCTCTGGTGCAGCGTTAATCTATATCAATTAGATTAATCTCATTAACATTCTGAAGTGTTATCATTTTTCCCTTTATAAAACATCTCTTTTTGCCTATCTCCCTATTTCTTGTTTTTTTCCTGGCAGCTGTATTTCTCAAAATAATGATCTCCACTCCCTATCTCACTCCATTCCTTGTCCTCCTCTGGGTGCCCTGGTATCCACTATAAACAGTTCTTGTCAAGACCACCCAGCACCTCAGTCTTGCTGAATTCATTGACCAATGCTTAGTTCTCATCTAATTTGATCTTCCAGCAGCCAATATACTTTCCTTATTGAGTCCTGATGCTTGTGTACCCTGATTTCTTCTCTCCCTCACTGACTTCCTTTTTCAGTGTCCTCTGTCACTTTCTCCTACATTCCTATGAAAGGTAGAGTGGCTTAGGGTTTAGATCTTACATCTCTTCTTGATCTACACTCCCATCCTAGGGTGTATTATCCTGTGCAGTGCTTTTACATACTGTTTGCATGGTGATATCTCCTAAATCTATGCCTTCCTAGTACACCTTTCCACTTGGGCTTTTAGTAAACAAGTCCCACCAAAAGCATCCAGAATTCCTTACTGTGACCTTCAAAGTCCTTACGACCTGGTCTCCCTTACCAATGCAACTCCATTTGCTGCTACTTGCCTTCTTTACTTCCCACCACACTTATCTTCTTACTTTTCCTCTAACTGCCAAGCTCCTTCCTATCTCTGAGGCTTTGCACTTGCTGTCTCTTTACCTAGAATATTTGTTGCCCAGATCTTTGTTTGACTTGTCTCCTCACTCCAATGTCAATTGTATTTCTTCAGAGGCCTTACCTTTCTAAAATCGTATCTTCTTGTCTGTTTTGTTTTTCCTTCTTAACACTTGTCACTACTTTAAATCATATTTTGCTCTCCCTTTGCAGAATGAGCCCCAGGAGGACATGTAGATAATCTACCCACCCCTGTATCTTTAGGGCTTAGATCAGAGCCTAGGTCATAATAGACTCTCAAACATGTTCATTCAGTGAGTGAATCAATAAAAAAATGGAGTTATACTATATATTGTTTTATATGTAAAGCACAGGATTATACCCTCAGTATTTTTTAATCCAAAGTACAGAGAAATGTTTATTATAATAGAACAGTTAAATATAATGGGAAAAGGTTTAGTGAGGGCCTTTTGCTTATAGACTTATTTAAGGAATTCCCTTCAGTGATATATGGGGTGTCTCTTCTTGTTCCCATCTCTGGAGATAAGTTGTTTTCTTGATATTTCTCATGCAGCTGAAGAATAAGTTCATGAAAAAACTGCCCCGTGATGCCGAAGCTTCCAACGTGCTCGTTGGGGAGGTTGACTTCTTGGATACGCCTTTCATTGCCTTTGTCCGACTACAGCAGGCTGTCATGCTGGGCGCCCTGACTGAGGTTCCTGTGCCCACAAGGTAAGCTGCTCCCTGACCTACAATGTCATAGGGAAATTTCTTCTCCTTTATACTAGAAAATACATGTCAGAAAGGTGGAATCTGACATAACGACTTAGTCTGATTTTTGTTCTAACGAGTAACATGGCACTTGTATACTAGTAATAATAACAAGTATAATGATTTGCAAAGCGTGTTAGTTTCTTATGTGTTAATCTATTTAATTCTTATAATAATTTAAAAGTACTAACTATAAAAGGTATCTGGATTTTACAGATGATGATACTGAGTCTGAGTGTTGAGTGACTTGTCTAAGGTCATAAAGATGGCAAAGCTTCAGATGTTAGAGTTGTTTTCATTTGCTCTATGTTTTAACAAAGAGTTGGTAGTGGGTACATACCTGCATATATTTATATGTGTGTTATACATATGTAAAATTCATTACTGTAAAATTAAGTTGAACACTTAAATTCACACGCTCACTTTTTTTTTAAAGATTTATTTATTTATGCATATAAGAACTGGGTTACAGGCCAGAGATGCAGGGGGGTGAGAGGATTCACCAGAGACAGAGTAGAGAACAGAACAGGCAGACTGACTGAAACACACTGCTGAGGGGAGGAGCAGGTGAGCCAGGAGAGGTCTGCTGTGCCATGTGGGTTGCTCCCTGGCCAGCTGGGGGGGTCAAACTTGTGCTGCAGAGGCTGAGGATTGCTTCATAGTGCGGTGCCTAACCCCTTGTGCCACTTGGGAGGCCCCCACACACTCACTTCTTATGTTGTGTCACATAAACTTTCATTTCAAAAGGAGGCATACAGTCATGAGCTCACAACACTGGAGAAGTCATCTTGTTTCTCTGAAAATGAGCTCAGTTAAACTAGAAAGCTTGACTTGTAGAGGGCATTTAGGTGAATAGATGGTAATGCTCCACTTAAACATGTGCTAAAAGAGTTTAAAGAGAAATTTGTGCTTTTCAGTTGACATCAGAAATTATTATATGATTGTTTTTTATCTTTTTAATGTGCTTTCCATGGACTGCAGGGCAAGGGCAGGTGACTTTCTTTAATGTTCTCCCATGTGAACAGGGAGGACTGTCATTCTCCTTGGTGAACTCAGGTGACTGGAGCATCAAGTGACAGTAACAAGGGGTTCAAGATTTTTAGTCCCAAGTCAGAGGGAAAATTACGAGAATTAAGACCTCCCAATTTGTAGATTATAGACCATTCTCTCTGCTCATCCACGTATTTTCTCCTATCTTCCCTCCCACCACATTTTTATACTCCATAGACTCTTAAAATAGTAATACTACTTGGGACAGAAATTGGCCAAATAGCAGAGAAAAGAGATGATCATAGTTTATTCAATTAATGGGATTATTAAGATTTGTGTTTTCTGCATTTTAGTTTCTTGCTTTGAAAGCATTCCAGTGGAGCCTTGCAGTTCTATCTGAGCAATCACCTGGCGAACAGATCGCTGACTCAGGCATGGCTGAAGTCCAGCTTGTGTGCCCCTATGGCTTTTATCTGTGTCTCTTCAGATTAACTTTACTGGGGCTTAAAAGAAAAAAAAAATTGCAAAGAAGTGTTAAATTGTTCTTACTTTTTTGTTTTTATTATTATTTTTCTTTGGATGCTATAAATAAAAGTTATTTTAAAAGTCTCTTTAACAAAAGTAAGAATCCATTGAGTAGCAAATCATGACCATTTTTGTGTGCTTCTCGTTATCTGGATCTTCTCTTCCTCTCCACTGAAGGATGGTGCTGGTCTAGAGGTAAAATACATCATATGAATCAGCAGAAAGAACCTAACAAATCAAGCAACTGTAATTCAGTAATGTCATGTAACTATTTCAGGGCAATAATCTGAACAGTATATCCTTGCCTGTTGACATTTTTTCCAGGAAATAGTTTTATCCATTTGCTGTCCTCCAAATGAGTGCAAGCTGTAATCACTGAATAGGGAGTCTCATTAGCTTTTTTTTTTTTAATGTGTATGACTAATGTGGGGCCATTTACAATGGTTGCATCCTGTGAAATCCAATAAAGGAAATCCCACAAGGAATGTGGTAGTCATTGTGAAGGACTGCTCTGCTCTCAGCCGTGTGGTTTAACGTACAGGCTGCCCTGTTGGACTGCAGGGAGACCCAGTTCTGATTTTGTGCACATCTTGTAATGTGCATCTTGTAATGCGTAAGGTTTTTCCTTTTGAAGATGCGGTAAAGTTATGTTGTTATGTTTATTGTTATTATTGCTTATAATGAACAGAGGTACTCCGTGTACCATTTAGAAAGTGTGATTCTAGAAGCTCCCTTTATTTAGAACTCACATGTTTTTCTATTTACTCTTTTTTTTTTAATAGAGGCATGTTTTATTTATTTATTTGTTTGTTTATACATGCACTGGTACAGTCAGAAGTGCGGGAGGGTGAGAGAATTCACCAGAGCCAGAGCGGGGAGCAGAGCAGGCAGAAGGACCGAAGTACACTGCTGAGGGGAGCAGCGGGTGGCAGGAGAGGTCTGCGCGCCATGTGGGACCCTCCTCCGGTGGCTGGGGAGCAGCCGGGGATCGAACCGGTGCGGCAGAGGCCGCGGGCAGCTTCGCAACCCAGCGCTCAACAGCTGCGCCACCGGGGAAGCCCTCTCTATTTACTCTTAATTGATGCATTTGATTTTCTACTTGCAGCTGGACTACTACCAATTTGGTGGAAGTTACCTACTTAGGGACTCTTCTTGCCATGTATGAGAAAGCAAACAAACTCTGTTCTTTGATCTTGGTGACTTGGTATAGGACATGTTTATATGTTTGCTAGCATCTTGCAGACAGCTTGCTTACTGTCATCTTAGATCTTTCCACAGAGACTGCCTGCCAGGTACTCATATTTGTGAGCTAGAAAGGGAATAAATGTATTCCCATTTTACAGTTGATAGATACTGGTAAAGGGAAGATTCAGTATCAGTGCTAGAAATTGAATTATGGATTTTTGACTCTCAGACCAGACTTGTAGAATTTAAGGAGATAGCTAAAATGAATTGGAATGAAATATTTTAGGATTTTCCCATGAAGAGTAATAAAAGTCTCTGATTAGTTTGTCTGTTTCTGCCCTCGATTTTTACATCTAAGATATAAAGTTATTCAGTGAGCCCACTCCTCTAAAAATTAGTATGTTTATTCCTTTTGGTATCACTGTAGGTTAATACATAATTTGTATTATAAATAATGATTTGTTTAAAGTCGTCTGTGCTTACTTGTCACAACCATACTAGAGGGATTGGGGTAGAGGTCTTCTTAGTTCAGTTCTCTCTTTCCTAACAGTCCAGCTGTCAGCGTCTGTTTTTATCAAATGGAATATGGTATCTTATGGTGGGCTTGTAGTCTTCATAAATCTATTGTGGAAGTTAAAGTTAAGCCACATTTTCCAAAGCCTCTAAATATGAATAATGGGTTATTTGATTCACTGTTGTTTTGATAGAAGGGAGTAAAGAATTGGTACATGCTGAGTTTATTCTAGAAATAGCTGTGATATATCAGGAAGGAAGGGGGTGCATCCTTTCTGAAAAGATTGAGTGGTTTAGGAAGGCTGCCTCTTTTTCTGATATTATGCTCTGTTTCTGCCTATAATTATTTTGTGAATGTGAGTATAGTCCATTGGTTCCGGACACAGATCATCTGGCACTTATTTTTGTTGTGGAGAATGCTAGAGGCGTCCTCCCCAGGCATAATTAGTTATATGAAAACGCTCACAAGGCTGGAAGCCCTCATGAAGATTCTCGAGACAATTAGGCACTATTAAAAATTCTAACTATGTTTTATTTCTAATTATGAATGAATAAAAGGAACTCAGTAACATGAATTAATTTTTTCCCCTGAACTGTTATCATGGTCTGAGCTCTAACAGTCACACAAATGTGATGTTTACTCTAATTTGTTAATAAAGAAAAAAGCTTCTGGTTAAAAATAACATCTGTCCACTTAGCAAAAAACAGCTTGGGTCATGAAAAGAGTTTTCAGTACATTATAAAAGCTGTTAGGAAAGATGTACATCTGTCATAAAAGTTGTAACAGCTTTCACTTCTTTGAGGGTGGAAGGGGAGAGAACACATTTCAGGCAAAGGTAAATTCAGCTTGATGAGTTGTTCTGTGTTCTTAATTTCCCCAAATCTCTCTCCCCATTTCAACAGTGTAATCCAAATTAGAGGTTTCTTAAGGGTCTCTGTTCCTAGTGGTGAAAATTCTTGACCTCAGTCATGTTTACTGCTTCTTATAGATGGCCAGATTTTCTCTACATATCATTTTAAGGAGATGGACTTACTGAATGGCTTCTGACTGGAGTATTAATATTTTTTATAATATAAATATAATGTATTATTCTTTAATAGATATGTATGAAATCCATTATGATCTGGAGATAAAGAATTGTTTTTTTAATAAAAGTTGCCTTACCCAATAAAGAGGAATTGTACAGCTATAGCTTGTTTTATTATGTATGGGACCCTTCACCAACAAAAAGATTATGATTCACTGAAGGCTGAGGTGATGGCTAGCATATTTTTAGCATTAAAATAATTTTTAATTAAGGTTCATACTTTGTTTTCGAGGCATAATACTATTTTACACTTAGTAGATGACAATATACTACAGACATAACTTTCTTATATCCTGGTAAACCAAAAAAATTGTGACTGACCGTATTGGGATATTCACTTTATTGTGGTGGTCTAGAACCAAACTTAGAAAATCTCCCAAGTGTGCTTGTACTTTTATGTCTAGATTACTCAAGTGATATAATTCTCCAGTAGTGGCCTTATTGCTATGATATATGTTAGTCATTATTTGTCAGCTTCTTCCATTCATTTCTGGGTACATTTCTTTTCTTCTTTGGTACATTTTTTTTTTCTTCTCTGGGATGTAGGCCAGAGATGAGGGGTGGAGTGTAAGAGGATTCACCAGGGACAGAGTGGGGAGCAGATCAGGTGGATTTACTGAAATACACTAAGGGGAGCAGCAGGTGAGCCATTTCAACTGTGGGTTATGTGGGTCCGCTGGGCCATGTGGGTTAGCACCCTGGCTGGGGATTGAACTCAGATGGTAATGGTGGTAGTGCTGAGACAACCCTTAGGCCATTTTTGGGTACAGTTTAGCAGGGAGGCACCCCATTTTTGGGTACAATTTAGCAGAGAACAAAGTAAATATTATAGAAAATATGCGACCTCATCTCATAAATTTTAACTTAGAAGCGCCATTACTCTGTTAGTTCTTGGATTAGTTACCTATCATTTGCCAAAGTTTATAATTTAGCACCATTAGTGGCAGAGTTTTTGTTTTTTGTTTTTTTTTTTTACTTTCGAACAAGGCAATATTTGGCTTTGATGTCCTATAGTCAACCTGATAATTAACTCATGTAGGTTCGTAAATGTGTATTTTCATAAGGTGTATCTGTAAACTATAATCATGATGGAAATGCTAGGGAGAGGTAGGAAAAGATACTGACTGGTTCTGAAAAGGCTTTCAGATATTATATATTGCTGCAAAACTAATATTTAGATACATTGTAGCAAAGGAAACCCATTATTTAAAAATATATTCAGTCAAGTATAGAGAGCTACTAGGTATTTTCTCTTGCTGCAGTGCAACTGCCCCATTTTGCCTAAAGCTATGGCCTCATTGCCCTGCCTGACAGCTGGCCTATAGTTAATAGGCAAATAGGGTTGACCAGTATTTCGGTTGTTTCTCAATGGGATTTGTGTTTTATTTTAGTGGCTAAATCATTTTTGCACATGTTATGCTCAAATCAATGATCGAACCCTTTAGAAAAATACATTTTGCTGTCATAAAGAAGCACTTTATAAAACTATATTTACTGGTATAATTTAAATCCATCTTTTAACTAGAAAAGTTCTAGTATCAATAGAACTTAAGTGTTGGATGAACTAATATTCAATTCTAATGACTTCCTTCATATGTGAACAGACTTTCTTCCTTGCTAATTGCTTTTGTTATTTCATGTAACGTAATAACACTTGAAAGTGAATGTGCCACCCTGTTCCAGAACTGGTTTCTAAGCAAATAAGTACTGAACACTTTTATGGTTATTCTGGTATAAAATCTGTGTGTTCAAATTTTCAGATAACTTCTTATGTTATTAGGTTCTATTTTTCTATTTGGATTAGATTTTATGATGAAGAAAAGAAATGATCTATTTAAGGGCATTTGGAACACACCCTAACACTTTGAAGAATATTTGCTGTCAATACTTTTTTATTTAAAGTAAGGTGTATAAATAAACATGTAAAAAATAAAATGTTACTAAGCAAAGCCTAAGCCATTCCTGGTCCCATCAAGTCTTATTTAACATTTTTTTTGTCCCCAGCTAAGTATTCACATCACCTTTCCCCAGAGTGGCCTATGGAAGTTATTGGGTAGCTTTCCTCTATGCAGTCACAGCCCTGCAGTATAGATTGTGCAGGTAATACTAGACAGAATCGTGTGCTGAAAAGAACAGGAGGTCTGTCTGCATATTTTCATCTACTACTAGGCACAGTCTTTGGGTTTCTCTATTAACCTAAAGAACCTCAGTGTTTTCACCATTCAACAGGAATCTTGTTGCAAAGGGTAGTATGGAATTTATATGAGGTGATGAATGCTTTGCATGCTTTAAAAAGCTGTGCAAATGTATGATATGATCATTTTTACTGTCCTCAATTTCTCCACATTAGGTGAGACAGGATCATAAGCAGGGCAGGAATTTACTAAGTATTGCCTTTCGTGTGCCTTTTTTTTTTTTTTTTTCGTTTACTTATCAAGTTTCCTCCTCCCCACTTTGGACATGCATATTTGCCCTGTGATCACTGAGGGATTCCTTCCAACATGATAAGAGGTGACCTAATTCAGGATAAGCTCACTGTTACAAATTTTAGGATCACTAACTATGGAGCAGTGTTTGTGCATTTCAAGGGAAGTGTGGGAAGGAAAATGAGGACACCCACAAAAGAATTTTAACTGTCTGTGAATGATGCTTTATTTTGAATTTCTCTCATATTTATCTTTCTTGAATTTAACTATCAAGTCCTAGGCTATCAAGAGAACTTGATTTTTAATCACTCCCAGTCCCATTCACTTCTTAGTAAAAACATTTCTTTAAAGTTGGGAGAAGATCTTCTGTCACTGCCCATGTTGGTCAAGGAAAATCAGAGAAATCGGAAGATTAAGGCTTTTCTTATTGTACTTAATGGGTTGTCTCCAAAGATTTTAAAAAGTCATAGAAGTGGAGAAAGGATAAACTTCAGAAAAGAGAAATTTAATGACTCATAAAGGGAAAGTTTTCTTCTCAGTGAATGAGCTTCTCAAGTTTCCATGCCAAGTTTTTCTTTGCCTCTGATTAAAATGAACAATGATTTATGTTTCACAATAGTTTGAAAGAGTATTTTTCATATTACTAAGAAAATTACCTGTGTTTTAAAGGTGAATTTTAGGCCTAACATTTAAATAAACTAGGATAAATGTGTCTAAATTTTATCTATTGAGATTGATGAAATATGTCTTATAGCCTTTGCTTTTTCCTTTTCCATTAGGTTCTTATTCATTCTCTTAGGTCCTAAGGGGAAAGCCAAGTCCTACCATGAGATTGGCAGAGCCATTGCCACCTTGATGTCTGATGAGGTAGGGAATAGAAAGATAGTGATCTGGGAATGCCTTATTTGTGTTGTTGTTGTACTCTTGAGTTGACTATCACAATTTATTCAATTATAATTGTGTGGTTCTATATAACGTAAGGTACAGTCATATCAGCAAATGAGCTGGCATCCACACACTTTTCAAAAAGTCAGTTTTATCTTGGAATAAAATATATTTCCCTTTCTCTAAACATTTGAAATTTTTACAGTTGATGGTATATTATATATTCTTTAAAAAGTTCAGGTGACTGTTTTTATTGAAAATTTATCTTTTAAAATGTTTAATATATTCCAATATACATATATATATATACACCATTTTGTTTCAGAAATGATGGATTCTATAAAATATTGCATAATGAAATGGATGATGCATTTTTTCTAAGATATAAAAAAAGTACCTGCTTTTATGGTTTTCTTATTTTCTCGAAAGGAATGATATATTCAAAATTGCCTTAGTAACCATTACTGTAGAATAACTTTGGAATTATGACCTTATGCTCATAATAATTTGAATGTTGTTATATACATTTAAGTATAAAACAACTCCAAACTAATCTCATAATTGGAGAAATGCTATAAGAATATAAAGTCATTAATTTTAGCTTCTTTGTCTTTGTAGATTACTATTTTCCTAAATGTTTTGCTTTTGTTTCATTGTTTAATTTGTCAGTTTCTCCATGTGTTAAGTAGAGAATAGGAAATTTGATTATGGAAGTTCTGTTTGGTGATTATTTAGGTGGTTAATTAATTCTGGAGCTAGGAGCATTGATGAATAACTATTCTGTTTTTGTTTTTTTCCCTTGAGAGAACTAAGCATCCCAGTGCATTTTTTCATTTATTTTTGTATGTTTATATTTTCTTTTAGGCAGTTTTTCCTCCTTATATATCAATTAGGAATGCTTTAGTCTGCAAGTGACAAAATATCTGACATAGTGGCTTAAACTTTGGAGTTTATTAGCTCAAATATCAGGAAGTTTGAAGGTGGATAGTATCTAGATTTGGTTTAACTTAGCTGCTTAGTGATAAATCAAGAACCAAAGCTGTTGCTTTATGGTCTTATGCTGGCCATTGCAGTTAGCTCCAGTCATCCATTCTGTTGTCAAGGCAAGAAGGCGGAGAGTAATGTTAGTTATGTCTGTCTCTGTCAACAGGTACTCTAAAAATTTCCCAGATAGCCTTTTCTTTTTCATTGGTCAGAATTGTCCATCCTTATCTGCACAGGAGGTGTCAAAAGCGACTCTCTGACTTTCTAGTGGTGAGAGGTAACTAGAGAAAATGAGGGTAAGGCTGACTGTGTCTGCCACAGATGATACATTGGCACTTAGCATTGTCCTCCTCTCAATCCCACAAACCCCAGATCATTACATGCTATATATTATATCAATAATTTTTTAAAATTTTTGTCAAAAAAGGTGGTTTAGTAGCAATCTTTAAGAACAGACAAGCGGATGGCCATCTCTTCTGGAAAATAGAGAATTTTACTTACCTGATATGAAAGAATTAAGTATGTGTAAAGAACTTCAACATCATGAATTTGATTAGAAAGAGTAATTGACAAAGAGGAATTCTGGAAACTCCATTCTTTGTATAAAAAAGACATGAAACATTTGCTGTCTTGGTTGGTTCAGTTATTGCCTTACTCAAAGATAAACATGTGATTACCTGCTTAAAGTCCTTTGCTTCATGCATTGCCAATATATTTCCAAATTTTCTTTCTTGAGTAGCTAACATTATTTCTGTGTTTGAGAATTGTAGTATTTGGGTCTTAACCTGGGTCTTAACACTCAGCTTGAACTTTTCCTTTTTGTATTATCAGCAATGGTTTGTCCCAGTACTTTTTAATTCAGGGAATGACTCTTCAGTGTATTTCTCAAAACCATTTTCATCTGCCTTCCATAGCAACTATATCAGTAATGGTACATACCAGGGGGAGATGAAAGGAAATGTTGTTTAACAGTACTGGTAGACAAAAGCACTACCCCCCCACAGCTGTTTTCTCATGCCTCTACCTATATTTTGGGGGCTCATAATCTGAATACCTAAATATTTTGGTACAAGCTAAATAATAGGAAATAATTTTTAATGTAACATTAAAATGGATTATCAAATGTGTTCCTCAGCTCGTTTTGACGTGTGGGGCATGTAGATATTTCTCTTGTTGGATCAGCACATCTCTTATTCTTTAGGTGTTCCATGACATTGCTTATAAAGCAAAAGACAGGCAAGACCTTATTGCTGGCATTGATGAGTTCCTAGATGAAGTCATTGTCCTTCCACCTGGAGAATGGGACCCAACAATAAGGATAGAGCCTCCTAAGAGTCTCCCATCATCTGACAAAAGGTAAATTATTGGCAGTTTTCAGAAAGATTTTTTTTTTTAGCTATTGCCTAGTATTTTCAGGTTCCCATTTCACTCAAATCAAACAAATGTCTTAATGTGACAGTTTGCTGATGATATAAAATGAATGTTATAGGTTGTGATGGTCTCCAGTGATTATGAATTAGAGATCTCAGGTTATGACATTGAAGTACATCACAGAGAGTCTTTGGGATGTTTTGGGACTCCTTGTACTTCTGGAAATATCGCTTTAGTCCCCCTAGATTGTGCAGGTGAAGAAATTGGGAAAGATAGTTGAAAAGCCCATTTTCTGGTGTACCACATAATTAACATATAATTTACTTAACTTTTCTGTTCACCCATCATTTGTCTTAGCTTTAATTAGAACACTTTGAGTTATCTGTTAGAATGGCAGAAGGGAATAATGACTTTTCTCCCAAAGGGTTTTCACCCCATCTCCATTAGCTTGTGCATGACACAGGTAAAAAGCAGATGAATGAAATAGCTAATATTCTCTTGGGCTTTATTGTCTTGCTTAGAAAGAATATGTACTCAGGTGGAGAGAATGTTCAGATGAATGGAGACACGCCCCATGATGGAGGCCACGGAGGAGGAGGACATGGAGATTGTGAAGAATTGCAGCGCACTGGACGGTACCTTTTACCATTCATGCTGGGCTTTTCCTTAGATCTAAATGTCTCATCTTTCTGTTGATGTTTTTGTTCACTAATTTGTTCATTTGTTCAGCCAACAAATATTTACAGTGTATCTGTTAGTCACAGGCACTGGGAATGCAGCATTGAATTAACAAAAACCGTTGTCTTTATGCGTCATACTTTGTAGTGACGAGAGACAAGCAACAAGCAAACAAAGAAAAGTGGAAAAAAGTAAAGCAGACGGGGAGTTTTGGGATAGGAAATGTTGTCACAGTTTTGGATGGGTGGTCAAAGAATGTCTTCCTGAAATTTGTAACATCTGAGAAAGTCCCTAAGGAGAGGGAAGACAGACCATGTAGATGTGGGATGTGAAGAGGGAGATAGCAGAGGGCCTGGTGGGTGCTGGGTTGGCACAGAGGTCAGTGTGACTGCAGAGGAGTGAGTGAGGGGATGTTCTAGAGAAAATCAGAGAGATTGTATGTGTGTGCATGAGTGTGTGGTGTGTAAGATGCAGTAATGTATCTGTCTTCCCCACTTGGCTTTCATGATTCCATCTCTTCCCTGTCTATTTGCTCTAAAGTGGGTCCCATTCACAGTCTTGTTGGCCTACAGTAGGGAATTCAAGTTTCCCAGATTGCTTCAGCTAAATCTCTTTTCATGATAATTCTTCCTTCTCCACTGTTTAGGTCTCCATTTCATTTTGAGTTAGGTGAAAATTTAAGGAGGATGCTCATTTTATAAAGATAATGGCTTTGTAAAAATACTACAAGGTTTTTGTAAATACAAAAGTAGGGCTTATTTCTTTATTTAATATTCAAAAGGGCAGGTTTATTATAAAAGGGGAAGGGAATTCTAGGATGTTTGCACAGACACAAGGGCAAAAAGAGCTGCCCCTGAAAAGGCAGACCCCTGAAAGAGGGGCCTGTATAGTCACAGGTGGGCAGCCTTGGGAGGAGAGCTGTCTCTGCTGCTTTGCAAGGAAAGTTTGGTGAAGAGATGCTGCTTTGCAAGGAAAGGTTGGTGAAGAGAATCACCCCCATAGTCACAGGCAGGCAGGAGAGCTGCTGTCTAAAGTTTGTCATTTTTATATGCAATTGAATCTGAGTATATTACATTATTTTCTTCCCCCGATGACCTACTTGCTTTCTTTCCCAAATTAAGAGAACATTATTTCCCCCTGCTTCCTTCTTAAAGAACAGAGAACCTTAAAACCTTCTGTTCCCCCTTTTTTCCTGAATAGTCTTTTACAAACTATTTCTAATATGAATGTATTTTTCCTTTTCTATAGATATGAATGAGTTCTGGGATTTAACTTTTTTATTCAGCTAGACTATAATTTTATTCTGTTTTCCAGCTTTCCTAACTGCATTGAGTGTCTGTAGCATGCCTAATACAGTGCATGGCTCTAAATCAAGAAACTGAAGCAGTCAGCCAAGTTCCTTGGGAACCCCCAGACAGACTGACAATTCTGATACAGGGTGATAGCCTGTGGTGGAAATCTCAACTATCATTGGAGAGTCAAGACTTCAGAGGATGGCTGAGCTTTGAGGGAGGATATTCTAGACAGAAGAAACAGTGGCATGCAAAAAGTCAGCTGACCAGCTAACATTTGTAATGGGGCCCAGTTTGTAATGCTCTTTCACGCAGCTGCATGATTTCCTCCCTTGCTTCCTTCAGGTCCTTACCCCACCATCACATGTTCAGGAGCCTGCTTTGGCCACTATCTGATATGTCAGCCACTGTTCCTTTAGCGCTTTATAATTCTTGTTTCCATGTAATGTTTCCTTTTTTTTTTTTTTTTTGCATTGTGCATTTAACTTAATTGTTCTTTACACAGGAAGTAAACTCCATGAAGGCAGGTATTTTTTTCCTGTGTTCTTCACTGGGTGTCTCTAGCACCCAGAATAATGTAGGCATATCACAGCGCTCAGTAAACATTGGTGCAGTGAATGAATGACTAGATGAATGGATGAGTGCATGAAAGGGGCTGTAAAGGAAGGACTGGCAAGATAATAAAAGGACATTTTATGATTTGCTGATATGCTTGGATATTTTTTAGAAAGTGAGAAATTTTAATTCATCTACATAATTCACTCTGATCAAAAGTTAACTGTCTGGTTTTTAGGAAATGGGACACCTAATTTAGTGACCCGAAAAGAGAGAGAGAAGAAAATTTATTCCTTTTCAGTTTCTAGTCTCCTCTTTAGTGACTAAACCACATTTTGTCATTGATTCAAGTATTGAAACACAAATTCTTTGTGGTTTAATAAATTATCTCTTGGAGATTTTATGGTAATTTATTCTACATTGTCATGCATTTGTTTTCTCCCTACCCAGGTTCTGTGGTGGACTAATTAAGGACATAAAGAGGAAAGCACCATTTTTTGCCAGTGATTTTTATGATGCTTTAAATATTCAGGCTCTTTCAGCAATTCTCTTCATTTATCTGGCAACTGTAACTAATGCTATCACTTTTGGAGGACTGCTTGGGGATGCCACTGACAACATGCAGGTGGGTATGGTTTTAGGGAAGACACAAATAGTACAGCCCAGATTGCCTTCCTCACCCCTACAGCTCAGTTAGAAGCAGATGGCCTTTCAGTTACTCAGCGTGATTTTCTTTCTTTTGCTGGATGCTGCATTTTACTTTGCTTCTGGCCTGCTGCTGTATTTCCACATTTTAGTAATTACAAAAATAGCTCGATGAAATCTGGCTTGAGTCACAAGTGGGGAAAAGAAGGGAAGGAAATGAGGATATATAATTCTGTTTGGGCAAAGCATATCAGCTGCTTTAACTTTGTGCAGGGTACAAGGTTTAGATCTTCTACCTTGAATGTATGAACCATATACTGTTAAACTTGAGGATCACATTTTTTTTTTCTGGAATGCATGGTTAGCTTCATTTTATACCCAATCATACAAAACTATTAAACAATTGATTTACTCAAAGTTGTATTTGCATACTATCCATGGAATTCAGTTTTAAGGAACACAGGCTAGGAGTTGTTTTTATATACTTAGATCTGCCTCTCATTAAGCTGTAAAAACTATGGCTTGACTTAAAAGAATCACAATTTGTTGGTTACTTTGCACATGGCATTTGCCTTTTGCTTGAACATAAGCTTAAATTTTTGTCACAGGAAAGATTTTAGATTCCTTCAATGCAATCAGAAAACTATGTACAAACTACTTTTGGTTGATCCAGTCATTTAGACAAATAAGCATTGTGCTAGGTCCTGAATTCAGAGAAGCAAATGAAGATGATACTCTTGTGACAAGAACTAGATTCAAGCCCTTTTCAAACTCTACTATTTCTGTTTATGAGTTATTCTTAAGTACTGCCAGCATCATACACACACACACACACACACACACACACACACGTATTTTCAAAGAATTGCATTTTCCACTTCTTTGGGAATATTTACATTTTATATTTCCACCTACACACAAAAAAGGGAGACCGACATTTATATTTACCCAAGTAAAAAGAGAGAAATAAAAGAGGGCTTTTATCTTTTAGCCCTATCTATTTGCATGTTACTTGTTCACTTAGAGACTTGAAAAGACTATTTTCTTATTCTGTCTCTTGAATTTGGTGGTTAATGGGCTCAGCTGGGTGGTTCTCTCTTGGGTCATCTCACACATGTAGTGAGATGACAGTGGCAAACTCTCCTGCAGCCTTCTTTACTTGCATGACTGGCTGGAGGCTGGGGTATCTGGCAGTGAGGCCTGAGGGCTCTCCACATGGCTTTTCCATGTGCCTAATGTGGGCTTTCCTGTGACTGAGAACTGCATGACTCCTAAGGGCTCACCCTCCATTGGAGGGGGCAGAAACTAATCATATTTGCTTCTTCCTGCATGTATATGTGCTCAGATTTGCTTCATTTTCTAAGTTTTGAAGAAAGATGAGAAATTCAAAGTCTTGTGTGAAATCTGGTGATTTTTAATATTGGCACCTGATTCACACTTCAAAAATAGCATTGTGTTGGACATTCAAATGACAGCATAATGATAATTAAAGTAGATCATTCAAGAAACAAGTGAACAAGAAATCACTGGGGAAGCATCTTGAAGATCGTACAGGCATCCACACACATTAAGAAAATAAGAGAAAGCTGTGATGTTGAGAGGGTGGCAAGAGCAAAACCATCTTCTGTCTTTTAGACTATGTAGAGACTTCCTTGTATGAATAATTTTCAATACTTTTCTTTAATGGACATTTTTTTGATTGTGATGGAGACATTATGACACTTCTATGTATTTGTTATTTATTGCCTTTTTAAACTTAATTGAATTTCTTTTCAATCTCATCAGTCTTAACCTGACAACACTGCATCTGAGACAAAGGAGGAAGACCCTTTAGTTTATAGTTGATCCCTGTAGGTGAATTAATTTCCATATGAGCCAGTTCCTTAGAAAGCAAAAGATTCTGTTGTGTAACATTTTAGTTAACATGGGCTTTTTTTTCCCTACATGAGCAATGACATGGGAAAGGGCTGGCTAGTGAAATAAGCAATTTTCTGAGTTCAGAAGACTTAAAATAAACATAAATACCTTCAGTGCATCTGCATGTTAATAGTCCACTGAAATGATCATTTGCTGGATGTTACTCCTGGGAAATGACTTAATTCAGAGTATCTAACTATCTCCTTAAAACCTATGAGAATATATGCCAGGCACAGCTTGAAAGTTTTGTTAATAGATTTTGTAATCTCCATTGATAATTTCACTGTAACTCTGATCTCACGGGTTTAAGTTTCTCTGAATGAAAATACTGAAGTACATATTTTTTATCTCATTTCAAGAAATATATTAGAGGAATACTACAAACTGGTTCTTCTAAAAGTCACATTGTGTGGCATAAACAGTGGAAAAGAAAAAAAATAACTGAATAGTCTCAATTTCTTTTGAATGGATTGACACTATTAATAGATGGGTAGATAGATCTAAACTTTGATTTGTAGATCAAAATAATCTGTGTAAATAGAAATTGACAAATGCACACATAACCCTACTCATTATATGATAATTTTACATATCCTAGTTTTTTAATGTGAAGATTTTTTTTATCCTATAGTCAGATTTCCTTGCAATGGTAGATGACTTCAATTAGTTTATGTACTTTAAGGATGAAGATGTAAAGTGACTTAATTTGTTAGAGTATTGCAAGAAAAAATGGGTATGGGCCATTTTCATAGGTGTGAGGTGGTCTCTCATTGTGGCTTTGATTTGCATTTTCCCTGGTAAATGATGATGAGCATTTTTTTCATGTGCCTGTTGGCCATGTGTGTGTCTTGTTCGGAGAAGTGATATCTGGTTCTTCTGTCCAGGTGTGATTGGTTTATTTGTTTTCTTTGTATTGAGTTGATATCAGTCCTTTTTCAGATGTATGATGTACACATATATATTTTTTTCCATTCAGTAGTGTATGTTTTTGTTTTACTGATAACTTCTTTCTCCATGCAGGAGTTTTTTGACCTTTGTACACTATTGGTGGGAATGGAGATTAGCCCCACCCTAATGGAAAACAGTATGGGGGCTTCTCAAAATATTAAAAATAGATCTACCACATGATTCTGAAATCCCACTTCTAGGTATATCTATGCCAAAATACCAATTTGAAGGGGTGTATGCCCTTTTATATTCACTGTAGCACTATTTACAATAGCTAAGATATAGAAACAGAGTAATCGCTCAAGGATAGAGTGTGACTTAGGAAGATATGATATTAATATATATACACAATGGAATACTACTCATCTTTATTTTTTTTTTTTTAAATTTTTTTTTTTTATAGAGGCATGTTTTATTTATTTATTTGTTTGTTTGTTTGTTTTGTTTATACATGCACTGGGTACAGTCAGAAGCGCGGGAGGGTGAGAGAATTCACCAGAGCCAGAGCGGGGAGCAGAGCAGGCAGAAGGACCGAAGTACACTGCTGAGGGGAGCAGCGGGCGGCAGGAGAGGTCTGCGCGCCATGTGGGACCCTCCTCCGGTGGCCGGGGAGCAGCTGGGGATCGAACCGGCGCCGCAGAGGCCGCGGGCAGCTTCGCAACCCAGCGCTCAACCGCTGCGCCACCGGGGAGGCCCTGAATACTACTCATCTTTAAACAAAAGATGAACACTTGCCATTTGCAACAACATGGATGGAACTGAAAAGGATAATGATAGTGAAATAAGTCAGAAAGAAGATGACAAACATGGTTTCTCTTACATGTAGAATATAAACAAATAAAGAAAGGGTCAGAAAAAACTAAATTGATAACAAACCCTAGAAATCTGATTGTAGAACTGAGGCTGTAAGATGTGGAGGGGGCAGGGGAAGACAAAGTGGGGAAGTGGTACAGTGAATTATTATGGAGGGCTATGGGTGCCTTGGCGTTGGGTATGGTATGGTTATATTGCATGAGGCTGGTCCCATGCTTCTGAATCACATACAGTGTTGCAAACCAATGCCACCTAAAAAAAAAAAAAATGGGTATGTACTGTAACATCAGATGTTCCAGTATGCTAGCTATGGAAGTGTCTTGACTTGGTATATGGACATTGAAATATTTTGTGGATTTGGTGATAAGGCCCAGGTCATGTCACAAGTCTAAGGCAGAAGTTGATTCATTCCTTTGCAAATATTTATTGGAGGGTCTATTATATACCAGACACTATTTCAAGTGCTAGGAATACAAATAGGTTATGAAAATAGCTAAAAATTCCTATTCCAATGATATTTACTGTCCAGTAGATTGATAATGTAATCTTTTTCTCTGCTACAAGAGATAATAGCAGTGTGCAACAGACCTGTTTAAGAGGTAAAGGCCTCTGATTAGGTTTTATAAACACTAGAGAAAGAATAAGCAGAAAAATGTTGGTATACTCTGCGATAATCTTTAATTATGTCACTTGCCTTCATAAATGTGACAGTGGGTTATTCTCAAAAGCACATGCAGCTCAAATGAGTCAACCTGAGAACGGTGTCTTTGCTTTTAAAGGCAGACAACTCAGAGATGGTTCACATAGGGCCTTTATTGTCAGGCTACAAATAGACTTGGGTGCTGGGTAGAAACATGTTGTGAAAACACAGATGAGTCACTGCACTGCTGTTGTTTAAGCACACTCCTTTGCCAGCTTCTGTTCAGGAGGTCTTGCCTGCTCAAAGACAGGAATATACATTTAAGCATTCATTCCAGTACTCACACACACACACACACACATATACACATATGTACTTAATATTCACACATATAATGAGATATATATTAAACAATCATACACATAATGTATGCATAATCACACAACTGTATGCATTTATACCTAATAAGGTATAAAGCCTATCTTATTAAAGGTAGATCTTGGGAGATATATTGATCATTTCTGTGTAACTGTGTTCAAAATAAAGTAGTTGAAGCCATGCTGGCTCCAAGTACAATCAAGTTATAATGACAAGGTAAATAACTGTATGAATCCCCGCCAGTTGACATATACATGTTGTCCATCAGCCTGCTGTGAGAGGAC